TATGTATGTATGTATGTATGTATGTATATATATGTATATATATATATATGTATATATATGTATATGTGTATATGTATGTATGTATGTAAATAAATAAAATTAACCCTAAAGAGTAAATACAGATGAAATTGCGCCCGTAGTGGTCATCGCAGATTAGCGGCTTCATGTTTTTTTTTTTTCTCTGCAGCTATGATCCGCAGCAGAGCAACCACTGCTGGCACTCTCATAAAAGAAACTTCACTGGACAACTGAGGGTGTTTGATTACTACAGACTGGAACTTAGCAGTGCACGCCTTCAGAGCACAAGAGCAGAAATCTTCCAGTGTTTCTGTTCCTTCTCTGATGGAGCTGTCTTGCGCGTCAGCGAGATATACAGAGGACAGGAGACCTCACAGCTGCAAGGTATTTTCTTTTCTTTCTTTTTTTTCTTTTTAAGGATGAAATAAAATGACAAAATTATTTTTGTCAAGCAAGCAGACACATGCCTGATGATGCAAACGGACCGTGTTATCATGTTTACATTCGTGTGCAGCTTCTGGAGCTCCATGTGCTGTTTGTGCCAGCTGACCAGTGGAATGTGAAGCTCAATAAAGTCCCTGCTGAAGCCACAGAGAGCTTCATATCAGCCGGCTTCATCAGGTGAAACTGCCGCAAATGTTTGTTTTAATATAGAAAACTCAAGATAAGGATTGTTTAACACTTCTGGACTGCACTCCACTGCGCAGACACATAAAAGATACTGAGATATGTTGTATTACTTAGGCTTTGTTCTTAGGAAATTCAGTAACGTAATTGTCTGATAACAATGTCAGACTGCTTTAACATTGTTCAGTGCTTTAAAAGTGTTGCAATGATACAATCTTTCCAAGTCTCAGTTGAAAAATTACAGTATTACAGTTGCTGAACGTGTCATTTTGCTTTTTAAACTTGATAAGTCAAATTTATTTGAGCACTCGATAGGTGACATGTAGCTTTTTTCTTGAACAATCCTGACTATCATTCTTTTTTTAACGTGGACACCACCTCTCCTTTTCTGTGACCTTTAGGGTTTACCCTGATGTTACCCTGAAAACTCTTAGGAGTGAGCTGGGCGCTCTCCTTGGTGCACAGAGGAGCGTCAACAAATTCTCCTTCCTTAAATGTGTGGGGCGCAGTCTGGCGCTGGTGAGTGCAGCTGGCTGTTTAGTGCTCTTTTGTAGAGCTGATTGTATTTCACCAGGCACACAATAGAGAGAAACTGCACAGACAGTTTACTGCTCAGAGTAAAGGGTGTAAAACGTGTGTGCGGGCGGGTGGGGAACACACTTTTTACTGCCGTGCCTTTTACAGCTTCCAAATTCTTGTCTGCTGCAGGTCAAAAGCAAACAGGAGCAAGACCTGAAAGTGAAAGTGTTCGCCCCACCCTATGTGCGTAGAGTCAGTGTTGGATACTTAAATCTAAACATTTAATCGGATGATGCTTCTCTTTATGTAGTGGGTTGGTTCCAGTAACACGTTGTTGTCACCTGTCAGCAGGCCACGCAGCCGGAGCTTTACTTGCTGCCCGCTGTGGAGAATGACAGCAGCGTTTGCTCCCGGTCTCTCACCCCTGACACCACCAGCACCTCCCCAGACCACCAGATCTATTACCACCCTCCCAAAACGTGCAGCCGGGCAACAGGAACAAAGGAGCCCATCAAATTCCCCCATATCCCCCAGTATTCACATCAGCCACCTCCCACACACCGCCTAGAAGAAGAGGAGGAAGAAGGGGATGATAGGAGCTACAGCTCTTCAGAAGGAGGCGGGGAGAAGGAAGGTGAAACTCTCTCCTCCATCAGGAGAGCAGAGCAGGAGTGTTTTCGAGGGCAAAAGCAAAGGGCACCCCAGCTTGCTTTGCACACACCCCAACTGCAAGGCTGCAGAGGTGGAGGTATGCTCTGGAGAAATGAGGCATGAAAGTCAGTTGAAGCAAGACAGAAAACATGTGAATGAGAGGGAGAAAGGTGTAAGAGTGAAGTTACGAGTAGAGATAGTGAAGGCGGAGGAGTTTAAATACCTGAGCCCAACCATCCAAAATAATAGACGGTGCACAAGAGAGGTGAAGAAGAGAGTGCAAACAGGGTGGAGTGGGTGGAGACAAGCGCCATTTGTGACAGAACAATGAAAGCAAGAGTGAAAGATGGACAAGATTAGAAATGAATACATTAGTGGGACATCCCAGATTGAGCAGTTTGGAGACAACGTTAGAGAGGCAAAGCTAAAATGGTTTGGATATGCGCAGAGGAGGGAGAGTTGATATATGGGACAAAGAATGTGCAATATGGAGCAACTAGAAAGGAGGAAAAGAGGAAGACCTCGGAGAAAGTTCATGGATGTAGTGAAGGAGGACGTGCAGAGGGTTTGTGTAACAGAAGAGGATGCTAGGGTGAAATATGAGTCGCTGTGCTGACACCTAGAAGGCGCAGCCAAAAGAAGTCGTCGTCTTGTATTTGATGCAATAAAATGTCCATTTGCTGAAACTCTTAGAAAAGACAGATGCAGTTTTTCTGCTTACAGATTTCCAGCAGTGTGTGGCTGATTCAGCTCAGGTGAAGGAAATGCCAGAGAAAGAAGAAACCTGCAGAAAGAAGAAACATAACCAAAGAGGAAACAGAGCAGCCAGACATTCAGGAGTGGCGGAGTCCCTGGAGGACAGAGATTCAGGCTTCTCCCTAACAGACGGGTACCGAGCAGCCAGCATACTGACCTAAAAACTTCTTACTCCATGGACACGACTGAAACTACTTGTGTGTGTTTTTCAGGGTTGGGAAATCAAAAGTGGAACACGCGCTGAAGTCCATCAGAAACAATCGAACAGCCAGGGTAACGTGCGACATTTAGAAAAAACACAAAGTATATCTTGGTTACATGATCGTCTCCTTTTCAGTGCTCTTTGTAAAACATGGATCCACAAAAGAAAAACACTTTGCAGGATAATCTTCTGTTTTTCTGTGAAGCTGTCAGAAAGCCTAGCTCCGTTGTCTCAGCCTGCCGTATCACCACCTTCAGGTTTAGACTTGGCCACAGTCACCCATGAAACGGCTGCTTCTCCAGTCCTTCACACAAACAGTAAGCCGGACGTATCTGCAGGCTTTATGCTGATTGTTATTAGTACAACTGACGGGCTTTTTATTTAAAAGGGGAAGAACTAATCAGTGAAATCAAGCTGGTACGGGAGGAGAGAAAGCAGCTGGAGAGGACGCGACAAGAGCTGCTGCGAAAGGGGAAAGACTTGTTAGCCCAGAACAGACACCGCAGGAACCAAGGTCAGCACCAGAGGTTTTTAATTATTCCCCAATCTGAGTTAAAGCGCTAACAATTTAGTGAAACTTTTTTTTTGTCGAAGTTGTTAACCAATTTGTCTCCGTCCTTTTAACATAAAGCACGTGACAGCTGGAAAAAGAAATATTTTGAAGCCAAGAAGGCCACAGCGCCACTGGACGAGAACTTGAGAAACTTGAGACAAGAACTGGAGACGTTTTACAACAAAGTCCTGCATCAGCTGCAGGCCCGAGATAACAGAGCAAAGCCCAGACACCAAGGAAGATCCTCCATGAAGGTACAATCTAACCACACGATTCCCTTCTTTTTTTAAATGCATCTTCAGTATTAATATTAAAGTCTCAGTGGCTCAGTTTCAGGTCTGTACAATGAACCAGTCGCTACTTACACCTTGCTAGTTCTGGGCTGGACCCTCTTTTGCTTTCAGAACTGCTTTAATTCTTTATGCACAGATTCAACGAGATGCAGGAAACATTCCTCAGAGATTTTGGTTCATATTCACACAGTTCTGCAGATTTATTGGCTGCACATCCAGGATTTGAATTTCCTGTTCCATCACATCCCAAAAACACCACTCGGCTAGGCCGTGGTGTTTAAAGAATGATGAAATGGTACTAACGGGCCAGTTTCTGACCCTACCATCCGAGCGTTGCAGCATAAATAGAGTTGAATCAGACCAGGCAAAACTTTTCCAATCGTCTAATGGTTCCATTTTGGTGTAGCCTCAGCTTCCCTCAGGAGCGGCAGCCAGTGTGGCGTTCTTGCTGCTGTAGCCTTCAACCAAGCATATAATAGTTGAAATGATTTGTTGTCTTTCTACCAGCAGTCAGGTAGTAAATGATAAATCATCTTTTTTCCCTATTCTGACGCTCAGTTTGAATTTCAGCAGCTCATCTCGACCTTGCTTACATGCCTAAACGCACCGTTTCTGCCATATGATTGGCTGATTTAGATATTTGTGTTAACGGGTAGTTGAACAGGTGTATCTAATTCAAATGGCCACTCACCCATAAACAGTTTTCCACCCATAAACTTAATGACGGACTATCCCTTACAGAATGAGCTCATCATTCAGATCATGACTGAGAGCCACGAGATTGACAACCTGAAGAGGAAGGTAGAAGATGGCAAGATGAAGCTGGTGACGGAGATAAAGGTAAGTGATGTATGAAAACTGTTAAAATACCTGAGCTGGTTGGTCAAGAGACATATCATCAATAAAATCATCTAATCACGGAGCACAGCAGAGCTCATTTTCTTGTGTTTCCTATGAATGTTTTTCTAGTTGAGAAAACAGGCGGCCACTGAGCTCAGAGCCCTGAAGGCTGAGCTGGCTCAGAAGAAGAGTCAGTCATCTCATCCCGGCCTGATGGGAAATACGCCACGGCACGGAGCACAAGTCCAGAGCAGCGCCGCCCAGTTCAGAATAAACTGCACGTGAAAAACCTGTTTTCTGGTTTAATTATTTTGGACTTGAATGCGTCTTTCTAATTAGTTATGTTATTTGATTGGACCAAAATAGTTCGCATTGTTTTATAATGTCAATTTAAGTTTGGGTTTCTCAGATGATGTAAACTCTGATGTGCTGAGATAACAAAATCCCACTGCTTACTCTGTAATTTCATTCAAAGATTTATTAGAAACAAGTTTTATTTATTTAAAAAAGTGCATAAATCTCAGTAAGCTCAGTGTAGGGACGTTTAAAGACTGGCTTTCCTTTTTAGAGAATCACAATTATTTCGCTTAGCAAAGAGGAATGTAACCCAGTCAAAGGCAGCAGCAATAAAAGAAACAATTAACTCTCAAGTGCAAGTATGCCTCGAATACCCCCTTTACTGCTACAAAGGGAGGTGTTGACTTAGCAACAAACAGAGGCGGGCTCTGGGATGGTTTGTCACATGCACAGCTAGCATCGTAAAAGAGCGTTCCACATCATTGTTGTCTGTTGCCTGGCGACCGGATCATCACTGTAGTCCAAGATGTTGGCGTTCCACATGCCAATACCCCTCAGGCCCTTAGACATCACCGAATCCGCCTTTGGGCAAATACTCTGTGGGTCATCGTACCAAACTTGATGGATTTGTCCGTCCTGGTCCTGAGGAAAGAAGCAACAACATAAATTTGATAATAGCGCCATCTTGTGGTCTGAAAAGATTTGTCCATCCACCCTGAGGGCAAATAGCAGAAATGTTTCTAGTTGTTTCAGAAGGCTAATTCCTTCTGTTTGGGAAGTGACGCTGCTGTACTTTAACAGTGCATCCAGATAAACGGCTCTTCCCTGAAATACAAGCGCCACGCAGGCATGAAGCTAGTCAAACTTAAACAAAGAACACAGAGATGATCATATCAGTCGAAATCTTGGTTTGCATATTAATATTTCTTTTAAATATTAACTGGAGCTAAACAGTGCACAGATCCTTTCTTGCACATATTGCCTTTTTGGTCCGAGACCTAAAACATTTCGCCTGGAAGCAAAAGAACTAAAACCCAAATATTTAAATGCACATTTAATTTTATAATTAATTGAACACCTTATCCATGCGTTTGTATACTTCAAGAAGAAAAAGGATTTATCCTTAAAATATGAAAGAAAATTGAGCACCTTGTAATTGAAGTAGGGAGCCTGCTGCTCGTCGTCCCAGAGCCTGCCTGACATCGAGCTGTTGACCTGCTTCATGAGCCACTTGTACGGTTTCTGTTTTCCAGCAGCATCGCTGCAAGGAACTCCACGGAAAGGCACTTTCTCTATAGAGCACACGCCCTCCTGGTGTGAGAAAAGAAATGACGGTGTGTTATAATAACAGGCCTCGTATTATATCACACATGGCCCACACTGGGCAAGGTTAGTAATGCTATCGGCCAATAACCTATAAAAATGTCATTATCCCGCCTTTGTTCAGCTGAATGAACAACCTCGTGTCCCCATTCGAGGAGACACCTTTTCACTGGTCTTCAAAAACCTTCAACAACAAACGAATCCTCACTTTTATTTTTTTAATGAACGATCTCTTACCTGGGAAAAGTTGAGGCATGGATAGTCATAGCCGTACCACGGCACTCCCATCACTATCTTCTTTGGACTGATCTTCAGATTCAAATACTGGTCATAAGCTACAAAGAACGACACCGAGTATTTCATGTCATTGTCTCAAGTAGATTTACAACAACATGCCTTTCTCCTGTGCTACTATAAAACCACAAACCATCGAGTGTCTGACGGAGAGGAGCGTTTGCCATTGCAACGCAGTCGCCGGTGATCTGGCTCTGCTCGTCGTAGGACATCACAAACAGCAAGTCGCAGGATTCGGCAATGGTTACGTAATCATAGCAGCGCTTATCAATGCATTTTGGTGACCAAGCGACATCAAATGAGACCTGAGGAATCAGGAAAAGGTAAACATCAACGGGATGATGATTTTAAAATCACTCAGAAAGTGCTCATAGGCCTTTATTCATTTACCCAGTCTTGCCAAAAGACTTTATCTGATTTAGTGCTCAGCTCAGATAAAATAATTATAGTGGATGATGTGCTTGTAACGATATAGAAAAATAAGCACGTCCTGTGAAGACTGGTGAAGCTGGGTTTAGTATGGATTTCAAACTGAGAGACTGGCCTTGGAAAATGACCGTTGTCTCCGAGTGCCCAGTCATTCCGCTTTACCTGAGATCCTGGGATCTCCCTGTGAAACATCTCAGTGGTCTCTTTGACCAGAGATGTTAAGGCATAGTACTCTGGTGAGCCCTCTTCCACAGCTTGTTCAATGTCTATGTTAATCCCGTCCATAAACTGACTCTTGGCCAACATGACCTTGTCTGTTATCCACGCAGTTCTGTTGTCCTGGTCCACAATGTAGGAGAGGGGGACGTCGCCTTTACCCAATAACACAAAAAGATAGACAAATGTACAAAAACTCAATGAGAAGAAGCACCACATACAGTACCGTGCAAAAGTATTGAGCCACGCCTGGTTTCTTTATATCCAGACTTTCTTGCAATTTATTTAAGTTGTCTTGAGCAACAGTCTTTCTTTGGACGATTGTTCACTCATCAGTCCTTGTATCTGATCGTTTTCAGACGCTGACCTATGAATCACTCGAGCATAAAATGCAGCTAATTCAAGGGATGAACCGGGGTTGTGTCTACACATAACAATCTGTCAGAAAAAAAACCACATTTTAAATATTATCTTTAGGCACTTTGTTACCAATCTGTGACAAAGACGCACAAATTGTTCTAATTTCTTTATCTACAACTATGAATCCAAATTTGAAATTTGTATTTTGCTTCAAACCATCACCAGTATGTAGAGGAGGAGGTCAGGAGAGGTGTAGAGCAATGAGTGTTGACAGAAAGAAATCGTGTTTAAGAAAGTTCAGGTTTTTTTGCTGAGAAATAAAGGTGGTGATACCGAATATTGACTTTCAAGCTTGTTAGAATTTTAAAAATCTATTTGTTCTTTGTGTATTGTGATTCCATGTATGTTTGCATATGTTTCAATAAATTTCCTATTAAAATAAAAAGTAGTGAGGGGTGCTGCTGTGAACTGTCACAGGACGTAAATAGACGTAAATGGAAAAATGAAATATGGAATTATCACAACATCAGTGCAAGTACTGAGAGATATTTAGTTACATGTAGGTAAACTCCAGTCAGCTCTTAGTACAATAAAGAAAGTTATCTTACCTTTGAGGACGACCCGTGCGCCTTTGGAGTGAGCGTAACACATGAGCTCAGCGTCATATTTTCCAAACGCTGCCACTGTTGTTACCATGCTCCAGTTGTAGGATTTCCATGTCTTCCCACCCACGTCAAATATAAACACCTGAAAAGGACGCACACAATTAAAACACATACAGTGGCATAATAGCAAAGCTAATGATGAGGATTTACTGAAAGGTCAGAACTGTTAAGTACTATATGTGTAAAGGAACATCTGGTAGACCTACTGAACAGCTGTCTGAAAAATAAATAAATCAGAAACTGAAGATTAAAGTAGGATTTACTGATTATCTGAGAGTTATATGGCCGAGTGTATAATTTTGTAACCTTATGATGGTGTTCATTGTTGGTCAAGCCTCCCCTGAAAACCAGATTTTAACCTCTGGAGACGTCCTGGTTAAATAGGTAAATGTAGACAAATACCACCTCGTTCTTCTGCACTTCTTCTGTACTACTGATGTCAAATAAACTGTTATTGAAACTATTTGCCCGAATCATTTTTGGTCAACCAAATCCTGCATTCAGCAGAGCAAACATAAATACATGTTTATAGAAAGCACTTCAGTATTTCACAGTGGAACTTCATGAAGCTGAATATATTTAGCTTTAACAGAAAAGCCCCTGGTGCTCCAACAGGGCTTTGATGTGCCTTGTAAATGGGAACTGAAAATACTGTGTTTAGAGTATTGTTCCAACAGGGGCGACCTCCAGGCAGGTATGGACACATTCTTATCAGCACGGAAGAAACAGAAGAGCTAAAAAGTTCTATTTATATGTTTCATGGCATAAAACAACAACAACAACAAAATAAAGTGTTGGTGGGATTGTTTTTTTTACCCTTACTGGGGAATACTGAAGTTTCCTCAAGCTCCTAAGTAGAAAAAGATTCTGGGGGTGTTTTCTTAATTTTTAATGGCCTGTGGTTAATAGATGCAGCATTAACCACAAGCATAAAATTTAATTAAATTAAATGAACAGACTATGTTACCCAGATTTATATAAACTCAGCACAAACAGTGAGCAAATGTGTGTTTGTGCGATAGCAGAATAAGCTGTTTGGTATTCGTTTTTCATGGGCACAACCCACAAATGCACAAATATCCCTTACAAATGTTTCACCATTTACGAGGAAACAATCATGCTTTTCACTGATATGCAAGAAGCACTGTTACAACAAAGAAATAATGAACCAAACACAAACTTTAAAGGGCCACGCATTCACCGTGTTCTCCTGAGAGCACGTAACGAGAACAGTGTGTGATGATATGGGGCTGGACTGCGATTATCTGGAAACCAATACGAGGTTCAGTGTGTGTGCGGACTACTGAGCTGGTCCCTGGACACACATACGAGCTGGGAGCTCGCCTAACTGGGAGCCCTGTTAGTTTCACCTGAGGATGGTCTCTGAGAGAGAGAGTCAAACAGCTGTCAAACGAATCTGGGCCACGAGCCTTACAGTTTTACACCTGTAAGCAACACTAAAGAGGACTGGTAGTGTCATGTAATTAATATATCCTTAGTGCTTATTTTCTTATTATATTGTTTTATGTACTTTAATAATGAAGGTTTGTAAAGCAAGGCCACTTTTGACTCATAAACTAAGTGCTCAGCCAGACTGAAAAACAGGAAGTTAGTGTAGAAATATACAAGTATATTAATAAATACAGGAAGCCAGACAGAAAAGAGGAACTTGTACCATATAAGGAGTGTTTGTATCGAAACTGTGTGACGTGTAAAGTACCGAAATAACACCTGTATGTGAGACGTTTTTAAATTCTAATGTTAGAGCTTTGGGCTGTGCAGGGCTCTCTCTCTCTCGCTCTTCCGGAAGATGATTGAATAAAAAGAATTATAAATGGTTTTGGCCACTATGAGTCGGGCTTTCTCTGTTCTATCATCGGGATACTGAGTCACACCTCCATCACAAGACCAACTTTTATTATTACAGTGGCGACAGCACCAAGCAGCAGCCTTAGCTCATTGCCGTTGTTGCCATTTGTAATCAGAGTAAACCCGCAACGTTTCACCTGTTTCCGATGAGCTTTTACAGCAACAGCACCAACACTTACGTGATTTACGCCACCACACTGTTTGTAAAGTGTCTCACGTGTCTCTGGCTGCGAGCGATGAGCGGAGAGTTCAAAGGTTCTTTGTTTCTTTCGGCCAAGTTTTAGCAGCAACAGGTTGGTCAACTAAGTTTACCTCGAAGTCTTTCTCCTCGCGGATCTGCTGGCAGAGCTCCGGTCTCTCACACGGACACACGCTGGACCTACAGGCGGTCAGGAGCGAGCACAAAATCACAAGAAAGCTCAACATCTTTAGCAGAAAGAGGAAAGTTTCAGCGCAGAGTGAACCCGTGCGACTGTGAGCTGCCCTACGGCGTGCGAGATGGGACAAACTTCTACTGTCATTTATTTGTACAGCTTCAGAAAACAAAGTAATCCAAGTCGCTAGAAAAATTTCAAATAGCTATATTTCTATATTACAGAAAAAGCGGGCCAGGCTGCCAACAGAGGTCAAAGTAAACCAGGCAAATATTGACAGATTTGAGTTCAGGGGCAGATGATGAACTCTGATCTAACCTTCCCAAATATGATATGGGTCAATCTGACCCATTATCACCCTCTCTTCCTTTGATCGGTTACACAATGTGTCTTTGTCGCTACATCAAGTGTTATTCTGTTCGGATCATCATAAAGAACCACATAAATACTTTACAAAGAAACTCTTGAAAGCTTTGATATTTAATGTGAGTCGTCTCTTTTTATTTGCAGGCTTTTGAGGGAACTTAATACAGGTATTTCGAGTGTCGTGCTTCCTTTGGCCTTTTATTTAAAAACAAAACAAAAAAAAACACTATATACAGTACTTCAATTGAGATGGATCGCAGTTATAGTTATCTGTGTCTTAACCAAAAGTATACATGTCCTAAAGACATAAAGGTCTGAATGGTTTGTTGTAATTGGTATATAGCTGTGCTCCAGTGCTATTGTGACACATCTTGGAAGTAATTTTTTAGTGACATTTATTCTCTAAGATGCATGTAAAACAAGTTTCTAGGACTGTCTTCATTTATGTGTGCAGAATTGTCAAATAATAGCAATATTGTAACTCCTTATCATCAGTGTTTCCTTAAAAGTCCCTTAAAAAGTTCATCCAGGGCACTGCATCAAGAGCACTCCCTCACTTTTCACAAAACTCAGCACATGTGAACTAAAATCATCTGTTCATGAACCACAGAAAAGAAGAATTTAAGGATTTTGAAGGCAATTTAACTGGTCGAAATGAGGAGACCTTTACTGTAACAAAGAGAGAAGAAAGTAAACATCCAGCAGCTAAGGGAGCAATATCAGCATGTGATGACCTGCACACCATCTGCCAATCAGGCCGTCACAGGAGAGCCAGCAGATGTCAGGAGTCCAATGAAAACCCTCTGTGTGTACGTGAGGGTGAGGAGGAGGTGTTTGCTCCCAGTGTCACCCTCTGCATGTTGTTCCCAGCAATCAGCACGCTGTGTCCAGTTTTTAGTGCATCTGAATGTACAACTGTCTGACATTTTGGCAAAAGCTAACCTGCTAAAGATGTTGGGCACCAGATGAAACAATGTGTTTTGTACTCAGGGTGTAATAATGTGGCATTACGTGAACATTACAAATTGTGGTGTTTGTTCAAACGTGAAATTTGCAGCTTTTGTTTGGCTTCAAGAACAGCTGGTCATGAGCAAAACACTGAATATCTCTAAAAAGCAAAAATAAATAAATAGATTTAGATGAATTGATGTTTTTTTCTACCCGATTTTAATTATTGAAAATATAAAAATGAGCTGGTGAAATAATTTTGGAATTAATTTTTCTTTAGCAGAGATTCAGATCTACTTACAGTTTTATCCAGCATTGCTGAGCATCGTTATTTATCCATTTATTCATTATAACTGTATATAGAATAATAATTGTATCTCAACAGTATAAATAACCCTGTAACACTTTGGCACACAGTTTACTCACACAAACGCACACAAAAGTTAAGTTAAAAACAATCAGAGGTGTTGGGGTGCGGGATACCAGATTACTGGAACATGTGAATTGCTTGTACAACTTCATTTAAAATATTATAAATTTATTGTGTGTACAAGTCAAAAAGGGGAGGGGAGGGGGGCAGACCTGAAATTAGCCTGTGTCTCATAATGGCTGGGAAACGTGACCTCGTCCTCATTCACTGACAGAGACAAATGAAAGCGGCACCAACAAACAGGCCAGGACTTGTTTACACCGGCTGGTATCAGCCTCAGGACTCACACTGAGGGTGATAAGAAGTGTGATGCAGAAGAATAGGTGTGGTGATTTCATTGTCACACTTTGTATCTGATGCTTGTAGACATGAACCTTTTCCTTTCCCCCTTTGTTAATAATAATAATGGATTGCATTTATATAGCGCTTTTCGAGACCCTCAAAGCGCTTTACAATTCCACTATTCTTTCACTCTCACATTCACACACTGGTGGAGGCAGCTACAGCTGTAGCCACAGCTGCCCTGGGACAGACTGACAGAAGCGAGGCTGCCATATCGCGCCATCGACCCCTCTGGCCATCACCAGTAGGCGGTAGATGAAGTGTCTTGCCCAAGGACACAACGACCGAGACTGTCCGAGCCGGGGCTCGAACCGCAACCTTCCAGTTACAAGACGAACTGCCAACTCTTTGAGTCGCGATCGCCCATAAATAAACATAGTGGTGCTAACCCCATCTGAATGAAATATTCTTTGTTTTGTATTATCTGCAAAATAATTTTGCAATTCACAAAATCATGAAGTGTGAGTGTGTTTCACTGAAACAATTTACATCTAAATGAGAAAACACAGATCAGTTAATAAGTAGTTACAAAATGCCATCAATACATGTGGATACGTAGTGCCTCAATAAGTCCTGACCAGTCTGTGGTCTGAATCCTTTTTGAATTTTCTGTTAGTAGATTTAAATTTAGGGTTTTTTAATGAGTTTTATTGCTTTTTGTTTCTTGTTCTAATATTTATCAAACACATTTAGAGAAAACATATGGCCTTAATGTATTGAATTTTTTAAAACTACACTGCATTTGAATTTGTCACTCGACTCTCACTTATTTTTTAAGTATATTAATAGCCTCTGAAAATGTGTGCATGAGCTTTTATATCTGCTTATAAGCTGTTCCTGGCATCCCAAATCCACCCCAAGACAAAACAGAACTCACAATTTCAATATAAATTTTTTTATTACTCATTTGAGTTTTATTAAATTAGATAATTTCTTTTCTTTTCTTAAAAAAACCTGTGACAGCGGTTGTTAAGTCAACATGTGTTGGCTTGACTTTTGAAAGGTGCTCTTGGTCATGGCCAGTCGCAGGAGCAAGATGACATGACTGTGAAAAAGTCGCCTGCCAGGGCACACTGACATTTCACTGAATTACTAAGTGGAAACAAATCATATCTGCAAGAGATAATTATTTAACCTTTGTCCACCTTTGTTTAAAGCATCTCACCAAAAAAACCAATGGTTTGAGATAAATCACTTATTGAAAACAGTGGACACATAAAACTAATTCTACAGGATGTTGAAATATTGGTATGCTAATATTTCTATTCATTCATAAATTAAAATACCTATGAAAATAGCGAAATGCTTAAGATTAGAAAACCGATTGTGTTTAAAATGTGTGAAGTGCTATAGAAGAAAAACATATTCTTGTAATTGCGACATTGGGAAATCTCTGGAAATTTGTGAAAGGTAAGAGCCAGGTCAATACAACTTGTCACATCTGTGATGTTTCCTATTAGTTTATTTACTTTGTCTAATCTGTATGATCAGGGCATGGTCACATCAACACCAAAGACAGCCGGCATTTAGTTAATGATACATTTGATGGGCAACGTCAGCAAAAAATCTGCTTAAAAAGGACGCCTCTGCCTGCAGATCCTCACATCCACCAGCCATGAGGGTGCTTGTACTAGCTCTTGCTGTGGCTCTCGCAGGTGAGTAGGAATTATTTACAACTAAATGTTGTTAAATTGAACTAAAAATTCATCTTCTGAAAAAACAGCCTTTTTAAAGAATTAGATAACAACTAAGAATAAGAATTTCAATAGACTTGCAGCTGAGAAGAATTGTTACTGCCAGTGCTAGCAGTTTAATGCTGCCAGAATATAACAATGCTAATTGCCAAATGTTAAGCACATTCTGGCAAAATAGCATAAATTTTATATAAATTAGTATCATTATCCCTTTACAAATTCTCTTCCCTATTTCTTGTCATTTGTGACACCAAATTAACATTTATTCTTCTCATGTTACAGTGGGGGACCAGTCCAACTTGGGTATGTTGTTGTCCTGTTATGTTAAACACAAAAGGCAGTTAATAGAGAAAGCTTCTCCCTCATCTTAGAAATGCACTTTGTTTCTTTTTCTGTTTTTACAGCCCCAGGATTCGCTTCTGTTAAGACCTACATGTACAAATATGAAGCGGTTCTTATGGGCGGCTTGCCTGAAGAGGGCCTGGCTCGAGCTGGGGTTAAAATCCAGAGCAAAGTTTTGATCAGTGCAACAAGTGCCAACGACTACATTCTGAAGGTACAGATCACTAGGCAGAATTAAAATGAAAGATTATTGAAACAGACAACTTGAAACATAGCTTGTTTCTCTCTCTTTCTCCTCTTTTTTTTGCAGCTTGTAGACCCTCAGTTGCTGGAGTACAGTGGCATCTGGCCCAAAGATCCTTTCCATCCGGCCACCAAGCTCACCACAGCCCTGGCTACTCAGCTCTCGACACCGATCAAGTTTGAGTATACAAATGGCGTTGTCGGGAGAGTGTCTGCACCGGCTGGTGTCTCCACAACAGTGCTGAATATCTACAGGGGAATCATCAACCTCCTGCAGCTGAATGTAAAGAAGACACAGAATGTCTATGAGATGCAAGAGGTACAAAAAAACTCGCTTTCATCAGGTCCTTCATACAAAATGCTTGAACACTGACGGAAAATAACAACAATCTATATTTTGATTGTATTTTGTGATCTAGTCTGGAGCTCACGGTGTGTGCAAGACCAACTATGTCATCAGGGAGGACATGAGGGCCGAACGCATTCATCTGACCAAGACCAAGGACCTGAACCACTGCCAGGAGAAAATCATGAAGGACGTCGGCTTGGAACACGTAGAGAAATGCCATGATTGTGAAGCTGTAAGGGCATTTTCTAGTTGTTTCATAATCTCTCTTCTAGAAGTCTTCATGCTGGCAGTTTGAAGATTGCGTTGGTTTTATAATTGCAGAGAGGAAAGAGCCTGAAGGGAACTGCTTCCTATAACTACATCATGAAGCCAGCACCCAGTGGTTCTCTGATTATGGAGGCTGTTGCTAGAGAGGTCATCGAGTTCTCACCTTTCAACATTTTGAATGGCGCTGCTCAGATGGAGTCTAAGTATGTGGTTTAAACTAAAATATTATGCTTCATTACAGATTTATAAGCATCGTGCCACATTGATTGAATGATTATCTCCCCTCACAGGCAAATTCTGACCTTCCTGGATATCGAGAACACCCCCGTGGATCATGCCAGATACACCTATGTTCACCGCGGATCCCTGCAGTACGAGCACGGCAGCGAGATTCTCCAGACACCCATCCATCTTCTGAGGGTCACCCATGCCGAGGCTCAGGTACTGCAGCATTTACTTGGAAAAAGCCTTTTCTGAATTCACCCTGTATCCACAAACCTTTTCATCTGTGTTGTTTGTTTCCTCACAGATTGTCAGCACTCTGAACCACCTGGTAGCCTCCAACGTGGCCAAGGTCCATGAAGATGCCCCTCTGAAGTTTGTTGAGCTCATCCAGTTGATGCGTGTGGCCAGAGTCGAGACTATTGAGTCCCTCTGGGCTCAGTTTAAATCTAGACCTGATCACAGGTAAGTGCAGCTTTGATTCAGCAAAGGCCCAAGAAACTAACAAGACACGGATAATGGGATTGTACTCCTCTTTCCCAGGTACTGGTTACTGAATGCTGTCCCCCACCTTCGCACTCACGCTGCTCTTAAGTTCCTCATGGAGAAGCTCCTTGCTAATGAGCTAAGTGAGACTGAAGCTGCTATGGCTCTCTTGGAATGTCTGCACTCTGTGACACCTGACCAGAAAACCATCGAACTTGTCAGAGTAAGTCTTTTTTTTAAGCTTTCCTATATATCTGCAGTGACATGAAATCAGTTTCATATTGTGTCTTCACCACTTTTCAGAGCCTGGCTGAGAACCACAGAGTGAAACGTAACGCTGTGCTCAACGAGATTGTGATGCTGGGCTGGGGCACTGTAATTTCCAGGTTCTGTAAAGCGCAGCATTCTTGCTCATCTGATCTTGTGACAGTATGTATTATTTGAACATGTTTTATTCTGCTAAAGTTCAATTTAGACATCAGTGGCTTTAATGTTTTTTTACATTCTTGCACAGCCTGTACATAGACAAGTTGCGGAGGCTGTTGAAACAGGTGACATCGATCAGCTCACTGTCGCTCTCAAATGCCTGGATAACGCTGGACATCCTGCTAGCCTTAAGACAATCATGAAGTTCCTGCCTGGCTTTGGCAGTGCTGCTGCCCGAGTCCCACCCAAAGTTCAGGTCGACGCTGTTCTAGCTCTGAGGAGAATTGCAAAGAGGGAACCCAAGATGGTGAGACTACATTTTCTGATTCCTACCATCAATAGCAATAAATATACTTGAGACCTATTTTGTGTGCAGTGTTCAGTAGTAATCGGTCTTTCTCATTAGGTCCAGGAAATAGCTGCTCAGTTGCTCATGGAAAAGCATCTCCACGCAGAACTCCGTATGGTTGCTGCCATGGTGCTCTTTGAGACTAAGCTCCCCGTGGGTCTAGCAGCTAGCATTTCCACAGCCTTGATCAAAGAAAAGAACCTGCAGGTCGTTAGCTTTGTCTACTCTTACATGAAGGCCATGGCCAAGACCACATCCCCTGACCACGCTTCTGTGTAAGAACCTAAATGATTTTCATGTTTCTAAGATGCTTTATATCTATGCATGCTAGTCTATCGAATCTCAAATATCCCCTTGTTCTATTTTAAGTGCTGCAGCTTGTACTGTTGCCTTGAGGTTCCTCAACCCCAAATTAGGCAGACTGAACTTCCGCTACAGCCGAGCCTTCCATGTGGATACCTATAACAGTAAGACGATAGCAGATAAATAACCCGCTGTTGCACACCTTAGATTTATGCACGTGGTGTGATGATGTTTATCCATTTGCCTGCCAGATGCCTGGATGATGGGTGCTGCCGCCAGCGCCGTCTTCATTAATGACGCTGCAACCGTGTTACCAAGAATGTTTATGGCCAAAGCCCGTACTTACATGGCCGGAGCTTATGTTGATGCTTTTGAGGTAAGACGTTTAAATGTTAAGTAAGTAACTAAAAAAAACACTCAGCAATGCAATTCAATGGCTTCAATATGTAAACCATACATTTTTCAGTATCTGCACTCGAATGCATTCAATAATGTACTTTTCAGGTTGGAGTGAGGACTGAGGGAATCCAGGAGGCTCTTTTGAAAAGACGACATGAAAATTCTGAGAATGCAGACAGGATCACCAAGATTAAACAAGCCATGAGAGCTGTAAGTTGAACTACTGTGGCAAGAGTGAAAATGGGATTCTGAGGCACATTTTCTTTACGAGAGCTGACTTTTCTTTTACTTGTTTTTAACCTAATTTATTCCCACAATAGCTTTATGAGTGGAGGGCTAATCCTTCGAGCCAGGCCCTGGCCTCTATGTATGTGAAGTTCTTCGGACAAGAAATTGCATTTGTCAACATTGACAAATCCAAGGTTGACCAGCTTATCCAGGTACGGTTTCTCCCACAGCCTCATATGGTTTCTTAGTAATGATGCATTATGTTAAGTTGAAACTAATAAGCAACGTTGCCTTCACAGTTTGCAAGTGGACCTTTGAGAAACATGTTCAGAGATGCTGTAAATTCTATGCTGTCTGGTTACGCAACACATTTTGCTAAACCAATGCTGCTCGGTGAGCTCCGTCGCATCCTTCCCACCACTGTTGGGTTGCCCATGGAGATCAGCCTCATTACATCCGCTGTGACTGCTGCATCCATTGAAGGTAAGTTTCATTTGGACAGTTTACAAGTTTACAAAAGGGAAAAATATATTGATATTGATATGAAAAATATATTGTTCTCTTGTGTTCTTTTGCTAGTCCAAGCCACTGTGTCACCACCTCTGCCTGTCAACTACCGGGTTTCCCAGCTTGTGGAGTCCGATATTCAACTGAGGGCTACAGTTGCTCCAAGGTACACAACAGCTTGAGAAGCTTCTTTTCCGCAGTTTAATGAATGAATTCAGAGATAACTCTTAATGAATAAATATTTTCTGTCTTTTTGCAGTGTTGCCATACAGACCTATGCAGTCATGGGGGTGAACACCGCCTTAATCCAGGCTGCAGTGATGACAAAAGCCAAAGTTTACACAGCTGTTCCTGCACAGATGAAAGCAAGGATTGACATTGTTAAGGGCAACTTCAAGGTTGAGTTCCTGTCTCTCCAGGGCATTAACACAATTGCATCTGCACAGTATGTACATGCCTTGTCACTAATTGCCATGCATTTCAAAGATTTTTGGTCCTTTTCGGCATCTGTTTTTATTGGGTGGGGTTTTTTCTCTCATACAGCGCTGAGACGGTTGCCATTGCGAGAAATGTGGAAGACCTCCCAGTCGCAAGAAGCACACCACTGATCTCATCTGAAGCTGCATCACAACTTTCAAAGGCCTCTCTCAACTCAAAGATCTCCAGGATGGCATCATCTATAACTGGTGGAATGGTAAGTTTGGTTCACTTGCCTCCTATTTTCAACATTTAACTTTTTGAAATAAACGTGGCGATCTCTGCTGTGGTTTTACAGTCTGCGTCATCTGAAATCATTCCTGCTGACCTGCCACGTAAGATTGGGAGGAAAATGAAATTCCCTAAAACCTACAGGAAGAAAGTCCGTGCTTCAGGCAGAACGCTAGGGTTCAAGGCCTACGCTGAGATTGAATCTCACAATGCTGCCTACATCAGAGACTGCCCTCTCTACGCTCTGATCGGAAAGCATGCTGCTTCTGTTAGGATTGCTCCAGGTGAACTTGAAGTTGAAGCTTTAACCTAACAAATTTGCAAAACATTGTGGAAAAGTCCTGTTTTTGTTTTTAATTATTATTCTTTAATTTATATTCCAGCTTCTGGACCAGTCATTGAGAAGATTGAAGTTGAGATTCAGGTCGGAGATAAAGCAGCAGAAAATATGATTAAAGCGATTGACATGAGCGAAGAGGAGGAAGCTCTTGAGGATAAGAATGTCCTCTTGAAAATCAAGAAAATACTGGCACCTGGTCTCAAGAACACCACATCATCTTCCTCCAGCTCCTCCAGCTCCTCCAGCTCCTCTTCATCCAGCTCTAGCTCCAGCAAGTCTTCTTCATCCAGCTCCCGCTCCAGCAGCTCCAAGTCATCCAGCTCTCGTTCCCATAGGTCTCGCTCCAGAAAGTCCCAGTCTAGCAGCTCTCAGTCAAGCCGCTCTCCCTCAAGCTCTTCCTCCTCTTCCTCCTCTTCATCATCCAGATCTTCTTCCAAGTCATCTTCCAGATCATCTTCCAGATCATCTTCTAGATCTTCTTCTAGGTCCTCCTCTCGCTCCAGACCTAAGATGGCTGACATTGCTGCTCCTATTATCACGACGTCCACCAAAGTGAACAGCTCCAGTGCTTCATACTTGCTCAGGCCATCTGGCAGCAGCAGCAGCAGCAGCAGCAGAAGAACCAGAGTGAACAGCTCCAATGCTTCATACTTGCTCAGGCCATCTGGCAGCAGCAGCAGCAGCAGCAGCAGCAGCAGCAGCAGCAGCAGCAGCAGCAGGAGTAGCAAGAACAGCAAGAACAGCAAGAACAGCAAGAACAGCAAAAGCAGCAACAGCAAGTCATCAAGCTCTAGGTCCTCTCGGCGCAGTGCTCAGTCCAAGGTGAATCATCCTCTCTTCGCAGCATGCAGACGTGTGTGGAATTTTATGGAATGTGGGGCACTTATTTTACAATTCTTTTCCTATTACAGCAACAACTGCTGGCCTTGAAGTTCAGAAAGAACCACGTCCACAGGGTAATTATTAGGCATCACATCAAAGCTCCGTCATGTCTTCTGTTTAAGCAGGCTAAATGTGTGGTTTCCTTGTTTGCAGCACGCCATCTCCACACAGCGCGGCAGCAGTCACAGCAGTGCCCGCAGCTTCGATTCCATCTACAATAAGGTGATCAGTCAAATGAAGATATTTATGGTGTTACACATTAAACTGCGAATAAACATAATTATTAATATCAACCTCTGGTTTTCACTTTTAGGCCAAGTACCTCGCTAACACACTCACTCCTGCCATGTCCATTGCAATCCGTGCCGTGAGAGTCGACCACAAGGTCCAGGGATACCAGCTAGCAGCTTACCTGGACAAACAGACCAACAGAGTGCAGCTGATTTTTGCCAGAGTCGCTGAGAAGGACAACTGGAAAATCTGTGCCGACGCTGTGCAGCTGAGCCCGCACAAGCTGATGGTAAACATAATGAACTTATGAGGAAGTAACCAACTAAAATTAGGTATGATGCTTAGGATTTAACTCACTGAAATTTATTTTAGGCCAAGATATCCTGGGGTGCTGATTGCAAGCAATACTCCATCACGATTGTAGCTGAAACTGGTCTTTTGGGCCATGAGCCCGCAGCCCGCATGAAGCTGAACTGGGACAAACTGCCAAGAAGCATAAAGCACTACGCAAAGAGGTAAAGCTGTGGACATTATTTCGATTCATGCATATAATCAGTGCTTTTATCAAAAAGCTTTTGCAGACATTTTGCAGATGGCAGTGCATAGCAATTACTTTCTTCTGACATCCTCTCAAACCTGTCGTTTGTACTGAAAACTGATAAAAGCTTTATAAAACACTCAGTAACCTTTATGCTTGTCTAGGGCGTGGAAATCCATGGTCCCTATTGGTCAAGAATATGGAGTAAACTACGCAAAGGCCAAGAATCCTCGTAATCAGATCAAACTGACTGTAGCTGTTGCTACTGAGACAAGAATGAATATTGTGATGCACACACCAAAGGTACAGTTTTGTTGCCCCTTCTTCTGTATGCACTGAAAATGTTTGCAATGCACTTTGTCACTCAGAGTGTTTCTAACTACTTTCTGACTGTTTAATATTCCAGGCGATCATTTACAAGCGTGGGATGTGTCTACCTGTTGCTTTGCCTATTGGAAACACTGCCGCCGAGCTGCAAGCATCCCGGGACAACTGGGCTGACAAGATGTCCTATTTAGTTACCAAAGCTAACGCAGGTAAAAATATTTTAATGGGTTTTTTTTTTAACAAAAAACAACAACAAAAAAACCCAAAACAGATTTCATATTTCTGTGATTTGACTTGTGATTTCCTTTTCGTTCCATTTCAGTTGAATGCTCCCTCATCAACAACACACTGACCACATTCAACAACAAGGAAGCTAGAAATGAGCTGCCACACTCGTGCTACCAGGTCTTGGCTCAGGATTGCACACCAGAACTCAAATTCATGGTTCTGCTGAAGAAAGACCAAATACAGGATCAGAACCAGATCAATGTTAAGATTTCAGACATGTAAGAGCAGCCAGGATTTATGTGGAAAAGAAATAATGGTCAGCCTGTGAGCCAAAAAAAAAAAATCATATGTATTTGAACTGCTTCTTAACAGCGATGTGGACATGTATCGGAAGAACAACGCTATTGTGGTGATGGTTAACGGAGTTGAAATCCCTAAAAGCAACCTGCCATACCTGCATCCATCAGGTTTTTGTTTTGTTTTTTTAATTTAACAAAAATATTGAACTGCCAGATTGTGCCATTTGAAACCATGCTTATACATATTTGCACTTACTTTAGGTAAGATACAGATCAGACAGTTAAATGAAGGCATTGCTCTCATTGCACCCAGCCATGGTCTTCAGGAGGTCTTCCTTGGCTTCAACGAGCTGAGGGTAATACAAAAAAATGCTGATAATACATATATCTAATATGCATATTTATTATTTTCTGAGGCAATTTCCTATTTGTATACCTGCTTTAATCTACATTGTACTAATATCTGAACTTTTTTATTTCAGGTTAAAATTGCAGACTGGATGAAAGGAAAGACTTGTGGAGCCTGTGGAACGGCAAGCGGAAATGTCGGAGATGAGTACCGCACACCCAGTGAACAGGTGACCAAGGATGCCATCAGCTACGCCCACTCCTGGGTTCTGTCTTCAAACACCTGCCGTGATCCCTCCGGTAAACCTTGCAATATTTCCTTGACCTTTCTCTAAGAGAACATTACCTGCAATGCAAACTGTCACAACACAAACAATGAATATTTGGCATCAAACAATGCACACATACAATACTTACCTTCACCTTCTACACTCTTCCAGAGTGTTCCATCAAGCAGGAATCTGTGAAGCTGGAGAAGCAGGTGGTCTTTGAAGGTGTGGAGTCCAAGTGCTACTCTGTTGAGCCTGTGCTGCAGTGCCTGCCCGGCTGTATCCCAGTGAGAACCACTACCGTCAACGTTGGCTTTCACTGCCTGCCCAGTGGTGAGTTGCAAGAAAGCTTCTTTGAAAAACATTATCTCTGTTTTGGTATCACGTACAGTCTCCAATCACTTCTCTTTTTTCACTGTTGCAGAAACAACTGTGAACCGTTCTGGTCTGAGCAGCTTCTTCGAGAAGAGCATCGACCTGAGGGATACTGCAGAAGCCCACCTGGCCTGTCGCTGCACTCCTCAGTGTGCTTGAGCTCATTGCCTTCGGACACATGACATTTTGTTTTCTGTTTTAGACAGGTGTTGTTAATTAGCTTTGGCTCAACTTGTAAACTTAAATAAATTGGAAAAGCATGTGAAGCATGAAACTGTTGTGCTCATCTTTTATTATTATTATTATTATTATTATTTCCTTATTCTTTATTATAACAAAACATAAATAAGATCAACTTAATTTGTCCCAAAAGTTAGTCACAGAAACCAAAATTTGAAAAAATGCAACATGACAAACAAACGTCAGTGAGGTCAAGTCTACTCAAAAGAAGCAAAACTGAATAGAAAAATTAAAGAAAAGTAAAATAAATAAAATAAATCAAAATCAAATGCAATAAAATGTTATGTAAAAAGCTTGACATAATACAGTAAGGAGCTCAAAATATTAAAATCTTAAAGAAATGCAATAAATACAAAAAAACCCCAATAAAAATGTAAATAAAATACATCAAAGTGATTTTACAGAGTAAGATTAAACTAGATAAAAATGGATTACTAAAGAAACTCTAAAAGAAATCTGCTCATCCTCTTCTTGTATGTATTTGTTGCACATTTTGCAGTAACATGAAATCTTTGTAAGCACAGTAGGCATGAGCTCACATTAAAATTACATTTGTAATACAACCTAAGCAGTTTAGGAACATTTATCATGGTACAAGTGAAAGAGACCCTTTTAGTGCACTCCTTGATTTGTGGAAGGTTGGCTTATTCACATCGTTATAATGTAGCCGTAAACAGGGACCTGTCTACAACCTGCCCAATAAGTATAGCATGTTAAGTTGCAGAAAGCAACACAACATGGGGCGGTTTGTTTACAAACTCAAGTCTAACTTGTTTTTTGTTAGAAAAAATCTGATTGTTACGGTACATGCTTAAATTTACACAAGTTTACATTGTCACGAATAAAAATTTAATCCTAATTTTTTATGATTTGTTGGGTTAACCCTCTGAGGTCCAAAATATAATTGGCCATTTTTGACTACGTTCAGGGCTGGACTGGGACAAAAAATCGGCCTTTGAATGAAAACAAACGCTGTTGTGACAGTGATGTACAGTCTTATTGGTATTTATATATGATTTCTATACGTTTTACATCAGATAAAAACTTTGGTTGTAAGATTCAGATAATTATTTATTAAAAATTTGACATTTAAAATGAGAATAACAAAGAAAAGTATTTCATTGTGCCGCC